CTACCATCTACGCGCCATTTCCTTTAGCTGTGGTCCAAGAATGCACCTGCGTCAGTGACCGTGGCACCGTTCCACACCGTGCATCGGCTAGGCCGTGTCAGTCGAGTTCGTGTCGGCCCCGAGTTGCCACGCCGAACTCGGACCACGATCAAACCGAGTTTCACATAGTCAAGTGAATGATCGACCGACTCCGAGTGAGTCGTCGGTCTTGTTCAGTCGGACCAGTCCGGTCAGTCCGGACGGTTCGAGATATATTTCAGATAGAAATTTCAGATATATTTCAGATAGTACTTCTGATATTTTTCAGATAAATTTATGATCCTATCAGATTAAGATTTCAGATAGAGTTAAGATTTCAGATATATTTAAGATCCAGATATATTTCAGATATAATCAGATTTAAGATTTCAGTCAGATTATAGTTCCAGACTTAGAAATATTTCACAGAACTCAAGTATGCCTCAAAGACAATAATATTTTCAAAATTTGCTCGTAAATCCCTAAAATGATTTTAAAGCCAAGTGAGCGAACCTAGACAGCTCAGATAATTTAATTTGAGTTTTCAGTTTAAGACAAGTACTTAGAATATATTTTATGCTTATATATTTTGTAGTTTGTGGAGAGTCGAGCCTCCGACAACTGCAAACCATTCAGATCTTGCATTTCAGCATATTAGGTGGGGACCCTGTATTGGGTATTACATCTTCTATAATCGCAATACCATGGTTGAGGTATGTACATGAGATTCCGCCCGAATAGGGGAAATTACCTAGCGAGTAGATCTTTTCTATTTAGGTGAATCGAGTGCTAGTTAAGATGACAAGAACTCTAGTGAAGCTTTAAGTTAAGTTAATTAAGAATCCTAGAGCAGCCTTGAGTTAAGCCTAATTTCAGATGATCTTAGTATAATTCTTCCATAAGGGACATTAATCTAGAGATAGGTGTCATCATAACCAAGTGTTTCGAATCCCCAATAGTATCAAGGACTCTAGTGCCGTTGTGAGTTAAGCTCCAACCTTAGAAGTGCATAAGGGTTAGTTTTGCACTAGTATGGGCAACGACCTACAAATTAGGTCCTACAGTTGCTTATTGTGAGCGTGAAGACCTAGTGTTCTTCTCGCCTGTTAAGCAGTCAGTTGACCAGAAATTATATATAGTAAGTTGAGCAGCTATTAGAAATAGTCAGATAAGCAGCAGTTATAGACAATATACTTATTTATATGCATTTGTGTTATGTTCTATCATATTAGATGTATGTCTAGATTGTGATGTGTTCTATTATATTAAATGTATGCTTAGGTTGTGATGTGTTTTATTATATTAGATGAATGTTGTGGTTGTGATATGCTTATCATATCAGATCTATGTTTGGGTCGCGATATTGCAATTATAGTTAGTCAGTGGAGCAGCAATTATAGTCAGCCAGTCGGGCACCCATTATAGTAGTCAGTTGAGCACCAGTTATAGTTATCCAGTCGAGCAAATATTATAGTCAGTCAGATAAGCAGCGATTATAGGCAGTCAACTAAGTAGCAGCTATAGATGGTTGATGATTTAAGTGTTTATTGGATGAATGCCAAATCTTTTAGTGAAATGTTCATCATCATATTGTTTTCTGCCGACCCATTAAGTGCTTGCATATATGCCGATGTTATGATATGTTATTATATTAGCTGTATATTTCAGTGTTGGTTCCGGCGGAGCACGTGCATTATTTATGCTCACGCCCCCCACTAACCATTTTTCAGGTGATGCTGTCGAGCGTAGAGCGTGAGCCGATGATGTGGTGGTGGTCATACCAAGGATATTTTTAGTAAACATGCCATGTATATTTTAACATGTTTGAGTTATTTTTCTTTGTTGATACATTCTTACATTTGCTTCTGCACTCAGTATTTCAATATCTAGAATTTCAGTCTATGCATGCTTAAATCCTGAGATGTTTAGAGTAATGAATTATTCTCGGTTGCATGCTAGTAATTAAAGATATTAGAGATTAAAGATTTAAGATTGAAGTTGAGTAGTATCCCGCATATTAAAGCTAAAATATTTTTGAAAAATTAATATGAGTTTTCAAAAATTAAAACAGAGTTTTCCTTTTATAACGCGAAAAATTTACACTGATTTTAGTAAGTTTAGGCGGGGTGTTACACAATACCTCATCATAGTGGGAGGGTTTCTCAATTACCCGACCGATGGATAGGTCTTGGAGAGTCTAAGGGCTCAGTTCCAAGAAACCTAGAATCGGACCCAAGAACCTACAACGAGGCACTCCAAGATAAAGATGCAGAATCATGGAATGTTGCAATGAATGCTGAAATGGGGGTCAATGGACTCTAATCAGGTCTGGGATCTTGTAGAACCACCCAATGGGGTACGACCCATTGGATGTAAGTGGATCTACAAGAGAAAGAGAGGATCGGATGGAGAGGTGCAAACCTTTAAAGCTAGGCTTGTTGCAAAAGTTTATACCCAGATTGAGGGTATAGACTATGATGAGACCTTTTTGCCAGCAGCTATGCTTAAATCAATTCGGATTCTCTTGGCTGTAGCCGCTCATATGGATTATGAGGTCTGGCAGATGGATGTCAAGACGACTTTTCTTAACGGAAACCTTCAGGAGGACATCTATATGCAGCAACCAGTGGGATTCATTGCAAAACGACGTGAGCATCTAGTGTGTAAGCTTAATCGGTCCATTTATGGATTGAAGCAAGCTTCGAGATCTTGGAATATTCGGTTTGATGAGGTGATCCAGTCGTACGTGTTCACTCAATGTCTGGATGAGCACTGTGTGTACAAGAAAATCAGTGGGAGCGTGGTGGTGTTTCTTGTGCTGTACGTGGATGGCACACTTCTTATTGGAAACAGTAAGAATGAGTTGTCAAACGTAAAGGTGTGGTTGTCTAAGCAGTTTGATATGAAGGACTTAGGAGAAGCAGGACAGATTCTTGGTATTAGGGTCGTACGAGACCGCAAGAAGAGAATGTTGTGCTTATCCCAGTCATCATACATAGATACTATCTTGGCTAGGTTCAGCATGCAGGATTCCAAGAAAAGTACCTTGCCTTTCAGAAAAGAAATCCCTCTCTCTAAGGAGATGTCTCCTAAGACGCCTCAAGAGATTGAGGACATGAAGACAGTTCCTTATGCATCGGTAGTAGGAAGTCTTATGTATGCTATGCTTTGTACCAGGCCAGATATCAGCTATGTCGTTGGCTTAGTAGCCATACATCAAAGTAATCCGGGTAGGGAACATTGGTCTGCGGTGAAGCATATACTCAAGTACTTGAGAAAAACTAAGGAGTACATGTTAGTTTACCGTGCAGACAACTTGTTACCTCTGGGTTATTGTGATTTTGATTTCCAGACAGATAGGGACGAGAGTAAGTCAATCTCTGGTTATGTGTTTACCTTGGGAGGTGGAGCCATTTCATGGAGGAGTGCTAAGCAGAAATGCGTGGCAGATTCCACCATGAAAGTCAAGTACATAGCAGCCTCAGAGGCAGCGAAAGAGGTAGTTTGGCTCAGAAACTTCTTAGTAAACTTAGAGGTGATTCCGAGTTTGCCACGTGGTATCACCGTGTACTGTGATAACAGTGGAGCAGTAGCAAACTCAAGGGAACCACGAGCCCACAGAGCAAGAAAACACATAGAGCGCAAGTACCATCTGATCCGAGAGATAGTTGATAGAGGAGACGTTGATGTTGCCAAGACTGCATATGAGGACAACATGTTGCCTACTGCTCCGCGCATATTTATTTGAAAAAATATGAAAAAAAAACCAGCAAAAAAAGAAACCAATTCCCGCCCAAAGTGAATAAAATGAGAAAGATTTTTGGCTAAAAAAATGATTATTACCACTGTGCAACCAATTCAAATTTTTTGGATATTTTGGTTATTGATTTGAGCCTTTTTTGTAGTTATCTATTTCTATAATTCGGTTTGTTTAAGATTTGGTAAGATTTTATTGTCAAATATTTGTAGATATCTTAATGAAATCATTCCACATTAAAATCACAAATACACCAAAATTAATAGAATCTTATTTATATAAATACATTTGTTTAGCACGGTGGGGTGGCTTCACAAAAAAAAAATGGAAAATGCTATTTGTACAACTTTGTTGTACAAATATGGTTGACAACATAGAGGTGGCATGATATGGGTGGTTGAAATATAAATAAATGTATGGTTGGGATTTGAGTTAATTATAATTTTAACTAAGTTGTCAACCAATGTTGTACAACAAAATTGTACATGTAGCATTGTCCAAAAAAAATACATACCCAGAAATATCGCCTTGATCAACCCTACATCAATCGCCATCTGCATCAGGGACATGTCAAACGGGCGTCGGAAATGGCGATTGCTGCTCTCGGTCTTGCTATCGGCGGCATGAGTGCTGGAC